AGTCCTTCATCTTTTTTTACCATTTCGATTAATGGAGAATCTGGTGTACTTTCGCTGCGTCTGCGACCAGTCTACGAAACTCGCTGGTTAACCTTTCGAATCAGAGCGAACCCCAACGCCAGCTGCACTCTTGTTTCTACGCCTTCGTTCTCCTGCACGCTGTATTTGTTACGTAAATGTAATTTCTATACTCGCCACGTTGTTGCTATCTTTAGTCGACGTTATGTCACGTTACGCCAGCTGTTACCATTTTTTTTTTTTTTTTCGCTCCATCGATAAAACTCATTCAAACTTTGCTCACGCTATTCGTTACATATTTCAATCGGTTTCGCACGCATTTGATATAATAGAAAAATTGTGAAACGTACCTCGGAAATCAGTGCTGATTAATTCATTTTTTGATCGTAAACTTCATTCAGAAAGCGAAGTTTCTCTTCCGTAAAATATATTTTCATAATTAATTTAGCTGCACGCAATTTTATTAAGTAGTTTGAACATCGAGAAAGTCTACTTTGCTCGATACTGTACACGCGCCTCCCTGTCAAAGGGTTAACGCGATGAATGAAATAAGCGGCGTGGAAAAACGTATCTCGTGCTACTTACCTTCCATTCTTGCCCATTATTGTACGCAACGTTTAACGCGAAATTGATGTACACACTGGTTAACTACCATTTGACGTGTGATACATCTTCTTATGGAGCTCTTACCGGGCATTCTCACGATTTTATTCGATGATGGATAAAAGTGAAACCACGTGTCATCGTTAAGGCTGTAGAAATCGAATAATTGCAAAATTTATAGGGGAATGAATCACCGTGAAGAATTGTTCTGTCATTCGAAATCTTTGCTGTTTCTTCTGTATTAAGTATTCTGGGGAACAACTGGTGGATATTAGAATTGTTTGAAAAGGGTTTCATCGTAGAACATCGTCGCGGCTTTAGCGTTCGTTGTAAACGCTTGCGGAGTGGTCGTCGGATTAGCCGTAATTCAAATGGAAATGTGCCAAAATCCCTGCTAATGCGGGACCGATTCGCAAACTAGGCCGCCCGACATTATCTTTAGTAATTAACATCGCTGCAGTTCCCTTTTCCTTCGGCCTATTGTTCGAGATATCGAGCCGAAGAAGATTGCGCTCCCTAAGAATCTTCCAATTAAAATTAGCCGTATTAATAATATTCCACTTTCTCAAAATATTCCCCGAAATTTTGCGAATATTTGCAATGACCGAATTGTTTGCAAATTCGCAATAATTTGCGCACCCTAAGAATCTTCCAATTAAAATTAGCCGTATTAATAATATTCCACTTTCTCAAAATATTCCCCGAAATTTTGGGAATATTTGCAACGACCAAATTGTTTGCAAATTCGCAATAATTTGCACTCCCTAAGAATCTTCCAATTAAAATTAGCCTTATTAATAATATTCCACTTTCTCAAAATATTCCTCGAAATTTTGGGAATATTTGCAACGACCGAATTGTTTGGAAATTCGCAATAATTTGCACTCCCTAAGAATCTTCCAATTAAAATTAGCCGTATTAATAATATTCCACTTTCTCAAAATATTCCTCGAAATTTTGCGAATATTTGCAACGACCGAATTGTTTGCAAATTCGCAATAATTCCCAAATTTGCACTCCCTAAGAATCCTCCAATTAAAATTAGCCTTATTAATAATATTCCACTTTCTCAAAATATTCCTCGAAATTTTGGGAATATTTGCAACGACCGAATTGTTTGCAAATTCGCAATAATTTGCGCACCCTAAGAATCCTCCAATTAAAATTAGCCTTATTAATAATATTCCACTTTCTCAAAATATTCCCCGAAATTTTGGGAATATTTGCAACGACCGAATTGTTTGCAAATTCGCAATAATTCCCAAATTTGCACTCCCTAAGAATCCTCCAATTAAAATTAGCCGTATTAATAATATTCCACTTTTTCAAAATATTCCTCGAAATTTTGCGAATATTTGCAACGACCGAATTGTTTGCAAATTCGCAATAATTCCCAAATTTTCACTCCCTAAGAATCCTCCAATTAAAATTAGCCGTATTAATAATATTCCACTTTCTCAAAATATTCCCCGAAATTTTGGGAATATTTGCAACGACCGAATTGTTTGGAAATTCGCAATAACTCCCACGTGTGATAGCTCTGTATATCGAATTTCACCGGCGCTGTCCCACGAATGCAAATGCGTTCCGGTGAAAACGCAGACGAAACGTAGCGGCTTTCATAGGGAGATCTAGAAGTTCCGGTCCATGAAGTAATATCGCGGCGGTCGTAGTAATTCCGCGTGTTTTTCCCGTTAGCCAATCGCCGTGGGACGTTTAAACGAGATTTCGCGCGGTGTTTATTGCGAAACGCCGGATGCCGAAATTTCACCGAGCTTTTCGACCACTTGCGCTTTCACGCGGTTCGAAACTGATTCAGGCCAGACGAAAGATGCGTTCGTCTTCCCTTGCAGCTGTTGCGACGCGTCTGTTCGCGGACACTCAGTACTTGTTTTACGTAACAACGCGAAACTTACTTCCGGAATGTTCCTTTCCAGCGGATCGAAGTGGGTTTGAACAAGGGATTAATTAAGAGATTTTTTAACACTTGTTTCACAGCTAGCCTAAAATCTTGGAGAGATTTTTTGATTTCGCATTAGAAATCAGAGCGAATATCTAATTCGTAAATCTAACTATCAAATCGATACATTTGATAATTGATACGCTATTGAAAATCGATTTCCTGCCGAGGTATCGAGTGATCGGATGAAAAACAATGGATCAATTTATAATCGCAACGGAAATCGATCTAATTCGACCTTCTCGCGCATTAAAGAGCATACGCGTGTTTCTATTGAAATTAACAAGCTACTATTATTTGGCCTAACGAATCGATTAAGTATTCGGTTTGCTTCGTATCTAGAGCAACGACCTGTCTGCCGAACGAACAGAATGGACAGTTTGGTGATGCACCATTTACCATGAGGGACGGGTTCAATGACGAATAGGCAATCGATGACATTCGAACGGCGTACCGTTTGATCGATGCCTCGTAATTAGTTCCACCTTGAATTTATCCAAGGCAATGATTCGTGAAAAGAAGCGTAACGCGTTTGATTAAGTTTCCTCGCGAATACTGTAACCTTGTATAAAAATTCTTTTTCTTCTTTTTTTTCTTTCTTTTTCCTGTATTATTAAAGCGGTAACGATTGCATGCAGATTGAAAAGAAAGTCGCCCCTGAATCGGTAACAGAAGCCTAACTAGTAGTTTTTCGTGTAGGGGCGAGGATTTGTTGAGCTTGTGCCAAACGTGGAAATAAAATACCGAGCCCGTACTCGTTGTATCGCCGATATACAAGCTCGCCAAGTTTCACCCTTTCATTAGAAAGAGATAGCGAGAAACGGGAAGCTGAGTATTAAAGGGGAACAGTCACAAAGTTGAAACCTTCTCGATCCCTTTTCCCGACATTTTCTTGACAATTTTAGTATCGTTCGAGACACCTTTTCTCTCGTTAACCTCGGAAAATTTTGTACCGCCTGTAGAAACATAGGAACAGAGCGTTAACTTTCATCGAATCGACGATACCCGATCCCGTCGAAATACCGCGAGCTCCCTTGTCCTCGTCGATTTTTCGAATATTTGGCCACCGGCCAGCTCCTTCACATCGTAGCAACGCGGCACATCGGATACGTATTAATGGACAAAGCTCATCAACGGTCTGTTAAAGACGCGTTTAACCACGCAGCTCGCACCTTTCAGTCCGCCTCTGCAGCTCGTAAATCCTATCGGACAAGGTACTAGGACGTTCCTAGTAATTAGCCATTTTTTTACCATTAATCCTATGGTAACGTAAATGAATATAGTTTATTAGAATGTATAATAAAACCCTTTGGGTCTGGTTTTCGTCACTTTCTCTTTTGTATGTCCCTCTTCTTGCCTTTAGAAATATAAATTACCTAAACTACGATACTACTGTAGGCATTTGGTGAAAGGGGAAGAGGGTTTTGTCACCCCGGACACCTTTGGTCCGTACTGGGGACCGCTAGGTGGCGACGAGATGATCTGTGGATCAGTGTTCTCGCTGACGGTCGACTATATAGAAGTTCCAAATTGCGGTATGATAGTCTTAAGATAACCCAGTTGACCAGTTTGCGATTTGCAAGTTTCCTTTCAACCTAGGATAGGTTCAAAGCTTCCCAATGCTAGGAAATTAATATTTCTTGAAAAGTTGGCGATGGAGCGAATAATAGAAATTTGATTCGTCTCCTCCTCTTGGATCCAGCCCCGAAAATTCCGGGATAGTAGTCGACTTTACCATTTGCTGACGTTGCTATAAGAAACGAGGGGTTAATATCGCGCTTTATTGATTTCGTGTCGCGTTAGACTGCTCTCTGGCGACGATGGAAGCCGTATCCGTGTCCCTTCTCTCGGTTACTATAGTAGGAAAAGTTTCTTATAATTCACGGTCGACGTTATCGCGGCCTGCGTTCGCCACGCGATATCGCGTGACGCGGTGTAGGGTGGTTAAACGGATCAGCGGTAAACACAGCAGGGCGAAAGTAAGAGTAAAAGTAAAGGTGTTGGGAGAGTTGGTGTCTCTGGATCGTGGGAGATGCAGACCTACGCGCGAATTCCAGCTCGACCGGTACAGCTGGTGGAATGGATAACGGTATGCAGGCGAGTTAACGGAAGATAATGCAGGAGAACAGGTAGAAGGAGTCGGAGCTTCGCCAAGGGATTCCTCGAATGTCGACCTCGCCCCTTGATTGTCCCTCGCGAACGACTCTGGGAACGCGGATCCCCGATTCACGAGGATGATTCCCCATCTCCTCCTCCTCTACGAACTTTCCGTAATGGTCGTTCATTATCTTGTAATTAGATTCTATTCTGAAAATTAACCCGTCGCTGGAAATACGGTACTTTTGCACAGTTAGACGCATTTAGGCTCTTTGTGCTGGAACGATTTCTCTGAAACCCGTGTTTCTTTCTCTTTTTTCAGAATATGGAGTGAGAGAATCGTGTCTCCTTCAGGAATGAAATCCTGACGAGAGATAGAAGCGATACCATCATGATGGAACCACCAGTTACGAGCAAGGTACTGCGGGCTCCTAGCCTGAAAAGGGGTCAGGAGAACGTCAGGATTCAGGACAGGGTAAGCGAACGTCGGAAATATTTTCTTGACTCGGTACATCGGTTTTGAGACACCCTGTATGCAAGATTAATCGGAGACAATAGTCGTAGCTCGAGCGTGTCGATTTCTCGATGCACGCCGGATGCGCATTATGCATCCTCGACGATGCAGCTGCACCGGATTGACGTCACCAGAGTCTCCTTTTTTCCAGCACTCGATCATAGTTGCTTCGCTTTCTGATATGTTTCGATCGCCTTGGCAAAGCAGCCAGGTATGCATTCGTGTTGCACTTGCACCTCCAAGTGCATCTCGAGAGGTGAGTTTGTAGAAAATTCGCTCGTCGCTTTCCCTCTCGACGGAGTTCCTTCTCGCGGATCGAGTTGCGTTCGCTTTACCTTTGTTGCATCGTCTCTCGCGTAACACCTTTTGTCATCTTCCTTCACCTCTACCTGATTTACTGGAATATATTAATTTTTTTTTAATTTTGAACACAGTATAAGAATTCTAATAATTTTAATGAGATAAATATGTTTTTAGAAACAAATTAATGAATATAAAATATTGATCCTCGATGCAATTAATTGCGCAAGGATATTATAATAGAAAAGTGCATTTGCAATTTATAGAAATTGTGCTGCATCGTTAGAATCGTTTGAAACAAGTGGTCGCCGATAAGCAGACAATCTTCCTTACCAAGTGCACACTGCATCAGAGATTATGACGGCAGGCGCCTCCTTTCGGTTACATTAGAAACTATTACACTCTAGGTTGATAATTAATTTGATGTCTTATTTTAATTATTTTATTTTATTTTATTAAAAATTAATACCTTTCGAGCTACTGAATTTTTGGAAATTGAGGGAAGCTGTTGAAAATGATACCTAAAATTTAAATAATTTTTAATTTCTCTGACCCCACACTTTAGTTAACTAAAAATTAAAAAAAAAAAATAATTTAGACTGTTAGTTTTGAAGGTAAATTTCGACGGTAGACCGAAACATGTCCCAGCGCACCCACGCGTGCTCCGAAATCACGATTGTGTGTAAATGAACGCGTGGGTGGAAAGGCGAGAATTATCAGCTGCGCGCTGTTCACCGGTTTGTCCTCGCTAATCTTTTCGGAGCAACTCGACTCTGTCGCTTTCTATTATTCCTCCTAACAATCCGCTTTGAAACCCGTTGCATTTCGTTACCTTCGAAAAAGAGCTTCCGTAAAATTCGTAATTAAAACTCCGGTTAAATTGAAGAGCCTCTTGACATTCAGCAGTCAGTTTAAAAGGTGTCTATTGTTTCGTTCAAAATTACGTATTTCCTACTTTCGGAATCGGTTACAATTACGGGAAGTTGGTCTCGAATTTGGAACTGGTTTTACGTTCGATCAGAAGTTGGAGAAATTCATTAACGATGCAGCGGTGAAACAGGTGTACTGCTCGCAGCTGGTGCAGGTCGTTGACCGAGTTCGACACACTTGAGCCCGTGAACCCTCTGCTTTTACTTTTTCTCCTAAGGGCCAATGCCATTCACCGTCTGACGAGATACTCCACCGTCTTCTAATCGGTGTCGACGAGAAGGAAAATGTGTATAATGATTGCAATTAATTAGACATCCTCGAAAGTGGCGAATAAATGGAGGAGAGTGCATTGGAAGTTATGCAATTGTGTACTGGGTCGAGAAATAAGTTCAAGGCAGCTGGGAATAGCGAGCGGGTTAGGCTCTTTCGAGACTCGCGAACTCTGCAATTCAATTTCCCATGATTTTTCTTTCGTACATGCTTCGTTTGATCGAACATGGCTGTTGAAAAGCTGGCAACAGACAGAATCGGATGGCCATCGCCAGGTACAACTTCCGGCTTTGTCTAACGGTACGGCACACCGGTTATTCTTCCGCGACGCTCTAACAGCCGATCTTTTGATCTCTGCGATTCGCCTTATTTGCCATTTAATTTAACGATATTATCTGTATAAAATTTTTCTAATAAACTCGTTTTACCGCTTTGATACGAAATCTCGGGCGAATAGAAATAATTTATACAGGAGGCGAGGCGTTTTCTAATCCCCGCCGGATGGCTTGGTAAACCTTTTAGAGTTTATTACATCCCAGGTTAATGGCTAATAAGAGACACACCTCTGCTTGCTATCAGCCCTTTCACGGCCCTTCCTATCTACCACGGGCTTTTACTCGTCATAGGATGGTTTTAACGAAATTGCTTCTTATCACGCGACCTGTCTGCTCTTTATTCTCGACTTGTCTGCCGAGACGCGAGCTTGAACAATATCGATGACTGGAAACTTGCCAGAATTAAATTCGAACGGGTTATTACAATATACAGTGGATCGCAAAAGTATTCGCACACCGGTTAAAACAGAATACCTTATTTAAAATTAGATAATCATTTTATCAAAAGAAAATTTAAAAAATGGTTAACAATATTAGTTGCACTCGTAACTTTATCTCTTATCTCTGATTCGAAAATCAGAGTGCAAAACGTGTAAAGTCAATTATAGGAACGTTATCAGGCTATAAAACCGTCGGTTTCGTCCAAATTTCGCGACACCGAGGGAATACATAATTAAAGGAGCTCGAGTCCCGGCCGATAACGAGCCATCGAAGCGATTTCCGAGCGCGGAAGCGGAAGAGACGTTGCCTCCACGGGACGGATGCGAAGATCAGTGCTTGAATTAATTATCCGTTCGCTCCATTCTGGTCGCGCGACGTTCCACCGTCAATTTGCTCGAGTTCCTTCTCTCTTACACACCACCGTGCACAAGTTCGTTGTCCGATCGATTACGGATACTGCCAGCGTGTCGCATACTCGCCAGTACCAAAATAGCGATCCGATGCAACTTACGCCTTTTTATTTTTCCCCCTAACACTCTCGGATACTCGGTCGCTGCGACCATTAATAAATATCACGCGTTCATTAATAATTACAAAGGGCGTTTGGATTGAAAAAGAAACTTAAGCGAACTTAAACGTAGGCGTTTAGTGGAAAGGGAAGGCGGCGAGTCTCTCCGGGCGCCCTTAGTTCGGGTCGACGACCGCCAGGTGGCGGCGGAATTGGTCTCCGTTCTCGCTAGTGGTCCCCCGGCGTGAGTTCCAAAAAGTGGGGGATTATAGGCGTCTGGGGCAGGGATCAAGATTCCTTACGCCGACGAGTCAAGTATTGGGTCTTCCGTACCCGGATACGATAATTGGCCAGTTTATCCATACCCGGCGCCACTTGGAGGGTGGTGGCTGCTGGGGAGTGGATTTATTTTTAGCGCAATTTGCGCCCTTTAACACCGCATAAGCAATAGCATAGGTACGGCAGAGCGGGTTATCAACCCACATATACACATCAACCTGTCGTCAGCCCCACTGGCAGACGATCCCGAGACAAAACGCTTTTTTCTGTTCCTAAATAAAAAAATAAAAGCGTACGGCTTTTATTGTTCACACAGGATTTAGTTACCGTAATCCCTCGGCACCTGACTGTTCAAACTTATTATACCCGGCTGTAAAATGTGGGAGTTGCGGGCGTGATAGATAAATTTTGTTACTCTAAGCCGGTGACTCAAGGCAGATACGTTTCTGTATATTATTTATCAGTGATTACGAAAATCACTCCACTCGCATGTTTCTGCATTTATACAACTTGAACGATATTCGAGCCCAAAGGCAACGATGTATCAAATTTTTTTTTATTTAACCTGCTTTCGTAATTACCATTGCACGTATGTTTAACAATGTTTTCCATAAAGGCGTGTCCGTAAAAAACACATCGCTGTTATTCAGCTCGGTGATGCAATCGAATCGCTCGACGTTTTCGGTGAACCGCTAAAGTAACATCATCAAAATTTGCATACCGATACGTGGCCGGTGATTGCATATCGCTTCGCGCAGACAATTGACGTACAATGTTTAATCGTTAATCGTTAATCGTTAGCCAGAGGCGCGTCATTCGTTTTCGCGCGTCACTCGATCGGCTATATTTTTTCGTTTCGTCGAAAGGAAAGTCCGTCGGCGTATGTCCTTTAAAGTTCATCGCGTTTATTCGAATACTCCTCTAGCTTCTACTATCTTTCAGTTGTAAATTATACATCCCATAGCAGATAAAGAAAGCATCGGATGACGGTGGTAGTTGTTCGAATGAATTACGTCAATTGTGACGAGGCGACGAAAAGGTAATTTGGTTATCTCGTTAAAGCCGACTCCAGACTATACTTAAGTATGCTCGCCACCCACGTTCCAAGAAGAAATCCACGAAATCGTGGATTCACTTTCGCCCGAAAGATTTTCGAGCACATACAGGGTGTCACAAAAGAGGTTCACTATTGATTACATTTTTAGAACAGCCTGTATATTCAAGTTGCGTAGACCGTTTCAATCTGCCATCGCGATCTCACTTTCGGAGTTTTACTTTCTTCCTTTGATTCGATAGTCGTTCTGCTATTCGCGAATTTCACCGGACTCGCGAGCAACTTTTCAGCCGCGCTGATTAATAAATAACGCGTTGCCCGGAGTGATCGACAGCACGAAATTCCGTCACGTTCCGATGCGAGTAAACAATCCTTAGTCTTCGTGATCCATCGTGAAATTCAAGAATGAACCGAGTCGTTGGTTAAAAAACGATTACGAAAGGCCCGCCGACCGTGAGAAATGAAAATCGTTTCACAAACGTGGGTGGAAATTTCGTATTCGCCGACCTTAGCGATCGAGGACGAGTGCGAGGTGCCCACGTAACACTCCGGTATAAAGAAACGCGGCCGAGAATGTTCCATGTTGGATGGAAAATTGTACTGGCGATCGTTTTTGAAAGACACGGTGGAGCACGAAACAGCGTCCGTGGATAAAAATGCGCACGTGGGTGCCAGCTCGCGGCTGGCCGCCGCTTCGAGATGGAATGTCGATGGATCCCAGCTGAATACTTAGCAGAGACAATGAGAGAAAGAAGGAAAAAATTCCTCCTCGCGTCGGGATTCCAATACTAAAAGCTTCGCGCGAATAACGCTGAAAGCTTCGAGAGTTCGCTGATAGAATCAT